GCTGCTGCTGCTGCTGCTGCTGCTGCTGCTGCTGCTGTGGTTGGTGGTGGTGCTGCTGCGCTGCTTGCTGGCTGCTAGGTAGCTGGCGGGTGGTAGTGGTGGTGTGCTATGCCGCTGCTGCTCACCTGCTGCTGCTAATACTACTCTGGCTGCTAGTGCTACGCTGCTGCTGCTGCTGCTGCTGCTACTACTACTACTGCTGGCTAGTGCTGCTGCTGCTGCTGCTAGCTGCTGCTGCTGCCTGCTGCTGCTGCTGCTGCTGCTGCGCTGGTGGTAGTGTGGTGCTACCTGCCGCTGCTGCTACATACTACTAACTGCTGCTATTGCTGCTGCTGCTGCTACTGCTGCTGCTTACTGGCTGCTGCTGCTGGCTGCTGCTGCTACTGTTCTGCTGCTGCTATTGCTGCTGCTACCTACTACTGGCTGGCTGGCCTGCTGCTACTGTTGCTACTGCTGCTACTGCTACTGCTACTGTGCTGCTACTACTACTGCTGGCAGTGCTGCTGCTGCCTGCTGCTGCTGCTGCTGGCTGCTGCTGGCTGCTGCTTGCTGCTGGCTGCTGCGGCTGGTGTAGTGTGTGCTACTGCCGCTGCTGGCTACTACTACTTAGCTGCTGCTATTGCTGCTGCTGCTGGCTACTGCTGCGCCTACTGCGCGCTGCTAGCTGGCTGCTGCGTAACTGTTACTGCTGCTGCTATTGCTCGCTGGGGCTACTAACTACTGCTGCTGCTGCTGGCTACTGTTGCTACTTGCTCTCACTGGCTAACTGCTACTGGCGGGCTACACTACTGACTGCTGCTAGGTGCTCATGCTGCTGCTAGTTGCCTGCTGCTGCCTGATACTGCTGCTAACACTGCTACTGCTACTGCTGCTGCTACTGCTAGTGCTGCTGCTGCTGCTAGTGCTGCTGCTGCTGATACTGCTGGCTACTGCTACTGCCACTGCTGCTACTACTAACTACTGCTGCTAGTGCTGCTGGCTGCTGCTAGTGCTGCTGCTGCTGATACTGCTGCTAACTGCTGCTGGCTACGCTACTGCTGCTACTACTACTGCTGGCTAGTGCTGCTGCTGCTGATACTCTACTGTTGGCTGCTGCTAACTGCTGCTGCTTACTACTACTACTGCTGCTAACGTGCTGGCTGCTACTCACTGCTGGCTACTGCTGCCTGCTACTGCTGCTGCTACTGCTGGCTGCTACTGCTAGTGGGCTGCTGCTGCTGAGTGCTGCTGCTGCTGCTGCTACTGCTACTGCTGCTGCTAGTGCTGAATGCTGGGCTGCTAACTGGCTACCCTGCTGCTGCTATGTGCTGCTGGCTGCTGGCTACTGCTACTGTTGCTACTAACTACTACTGCTGCTAGTGCTGCTGCTGCTGCTATCGCTGGCTGCTGCTGATACTGCTGGCTACTGCTGCTGCTACTGCTACTGCTGCTACTACTACTGCTGCTAGTGCTGGCTGCTGCTGATACTGCACGTTGGCTGCTGCCACTGCCTGCTGGCTACTACTAACTACTGCGCTACTTGCTGCTGCTACTACTGGCTTCTACGGCTGCTGCTTAAACGCTTGCGCGCTAACTGCTTGGCTGCTACTGCTAGTGGCTGCTGGCTGCTGCTAGTGGCTGCCTGCTGCTGCTGCTACTGCTACATGCTGCTGCTAGTGCTGCTGGCTGTGCTTACTGGCTACTGCTAGCTGCTAGTGCTGCTGCTGGCTGCTACTGCTACTGCTGCATACTAACTACTGCTGCTGCTACTGCTACTGCTGCGCTGACTAGTGCTGGCTGCTGCTGCTACTGCTACTGCTCGCTACCTGAACTACTAGCTGCTGCTACTGCTAGCTGACTGGCTGGCTGCTACTCTACTGCTACTGCTGCCTACTACTACTGGCTGCTACTGCTGCTACTGCTGCTGCTACTTGCTGGCTGGCTGATAATGCTGCATCAGCTGCTGGCTACGCTGCTGCTACTGCGCTGCCTGCTGATACTGCTGCTAGCTGCTACCCCCGCCTCTGCTGCTGCTACTGCTGCTGCTGATACTACTAACTACTACTACTACTAACTACTACTAGCTACTACTACTTACTACTACTGCTACTCTACTGCGCGCTGATAACTACTACTACTGCTGCTACTGCTGCTGGCTGCTGCTACATGCTGCCTACTACTAGCTGCTGCTGCTACTGCTACTACTAGCTGCTGCTACTGCTACTGCTACTGGCTGCCTACTACTGACTGCTGCTACTGCTGCTACTGTCTGCTGCTACTGCTGCTGCTGATACTGCTGGCTACTGCCGCTACTCGCTGCGCTACTGCATGCTGCTGATACTTAGCTGGCTAGCTGGCCGCTGCCGCGGCCTACGCTGCTGCTACTGGCTGACTGCTGATACTAACTACTACGCTGCTACTGCTGCTGCTGCTGCTGCTACTGCTACTGCTGCTTTTATACTGCTGCGGCTACTGCTGCTGCTGCTGGCTGCTGCTCGCTTGCTACTGCTAACTGCGTACTGCTGCTGCTACTGCTGCTCTGCTGCTGGCTGCTGCTGCTACCTGCTACTGCTACTGCTGCATGCTACTACTGCTACTGCGCTGGCTACTGCTGCTACTGCTACTGCTGCTCTGCTGCTGCTGCTGCTACTGCTACTGCACTACTGACTGCTACTACTACTACTGCTGCTGCTAACTGCTGCTGGCCTACTGCTGCGTGCTACTACTACTACTACTGCTGGCTACTACTAACCTGCTACTGCCTGCTACTGGCTGCTACTGACTGCTACTACTACTACTACACTACACTGAAATACTTACTAACTACTGCTGCTACTACTGCTACTACTACTAGCTACTACTACTACTGCTACTGAAATGCTGCTGCCTACTGCTACTGCTACGCTACTGCTACTGCTGCTACATGGCTACTGCTGCTAAAATGCTACTACTCTTACCGCGTTTAAAAACCTGCTTTGAACCCAATCATCGTCGCGAATTACGAATTCGACATAAAAAAAAGCTGTCCATATACTTAACGAGGAGCAAGACACGACCGTATGACCCGCCTAGAGTCCAAGATCTTAAGCAGCAAGCAATGATTGCCCCAAGAGAGAAGTTATTGAACCACCAACAGTAGCCACGAAATATTTGCTCGTTCTATTGCTCGTCTCTCTTTTTTTCCGTGCGTTTCCTTGCCGTCTGTCGAAACCGTTTAAATAAACTCTTTCAAGAATTTAACGAATCTTCTTTGATGATATCTTACGGCGGGCGAGAGGGTTGGATGAATAGACGGTGTTGCACTAGTACGTAATACGGGATAATGTGTGTGTGAGCAATGTGGCGTGCGTGCGCGCGTATATATGCGTGTGCGTGTGCGTGTGCGCGCGCGCGTGCGTGCGTGCGCGCGGGTGTGTGTGTGTGTGTGTGTGTGTGTGTGTGTGTGTGTGGTGGTGTGTGCGCGCGCGCGGTGTTGGTGTGTGTGTGTGTGTGTGTGTGTGCTGCTGGTGTGTGTCGTGTGCTGTGTCGTGGTGGTGCGTGTGTGTGGTGAATTGCAGTATGTTGCTTAGAGGCAGTACAATAAGGCGAGGCGTGTGTGCGTTGTGGGGTAATGTGATTTTGGGCATTTATGTGCGCTTGTGTGTGTGATGTGTGTGATCTGTGTGTGTGTGTGTGTGTGTGTGTGTGTGTGTGTGTGCGCGCGTCGTGTGTGTGTGTGTGTGTGTGTGTGTGTGTGTGTGTGTGTGTGTGTGTGTTTATATGTGTCTATATGCGCGCGTGTGTGTGTTTATATGTGTTTATATAGGCGCGCGTGTGTGCGCGTGTGAGTCTGTGCAGGCGCCTGCATGCGTGTGTGTGCGCATGTGTGCGTGTGTGCAATCGCATACCCGTTCATGCGTTTACTCATCCACGCGGGGATTGTTATGATATTGAAATGAAATGTATACAATCGCTTTAATATAAATATACATATGCTAACTATTCGCGCATGAATAAATTTTCCCTTTGTGTATCATGCATGGCGGTCGCGTTTTATGTTCAAACGCATACTATACTGGAGGGATAATAAAACATCTATTCCGTGATATTAAAAACCGCCATTACGTATAATCATAATGCGCCGATTACCAGCACATGAAAAGCTTTCTATATTTGCTTGTCATCCCCCTATATATATATATATGTATATACATTATAAAAATCGAAATATGTTAGCTTCGCTTATCCCCTCTCTTTAATACGACAATGTCATTATCTATCTAAATATTTATATCTCCTCGTGCGTATATCTATTTCTATCGAATCAAATATATGCGCCGTACATTGTGTGCATTTAATATATATATTATATATATATAGATATATATATATATATACTCTTAGGAGTTATTACCTATGTACATGAATGAATGCCAATTCTCGGTGGAAATCTGATATGAAATTGTCTAATGTGCTTCTCTTAGCCTCTACAATGGATTTATGTGTGGTGTTTGCTGCGCAGCAGGGCTACGCTTCGCATGCTATTCATCATAATTACTACATTTACCATTTTTTCTTTCGAGAGTTCTCTCTCTCTCTCTCTCTCTCTCTCTCTCTCTCTCTCTTCTCTCTCTCTCTCATCATTCTCTCTCTGTCTGCCGTGCGTTTTCTCTTTTTTCGTTACTCTCTCTCTCTCTCTCTCTTCTCTCTTCTCTCTCTCTCTCTCTCTCTCTCTACTCATTCTCGCTCTCTCTCTCTCGCTCGCTCGCTCTCCTCTCATTCTCCCTACCTCCCTATCTGTCTTCCATCTGCTCTTCCTCCCTAACATTATTCCTCTCTCTCACACACATGCCTTCTCTGTCTGCATCTCTCTCTCTCTCTCTCTCTTTTCTCTCTCTCTCTCTTTCTTTCTCATGCGCGCTTTCTCTCTCGTCGCTATCTCTCCTCTTTATCTTACAGGACATATAGCCCGAGCATGCATTATCAGCTCTGTGAGTATACTTTCCCCGGTTATAAACGTTTATATATTTACATTTCAGATCCATATACCGCCTGCATCATCGCCATCATCACCGCTGCCACTACTGTCACTGATCTTGAAGAGAACCAGAAGAGTTGCTAGCAAACGCAGGCGACCGGAGCGCCACCGTGCGGCGACGATGACGTAACGAGGAAAACGACAGGCACGCTAGGGTAGCATACCCTACGCATCGACTCCGCAACATGGCGGCGACCGTCGCCATGACGACGACGTCCGCGTACGCCGACTACTGGGACGCCACCTCGCGGCTACCCGCCTACCTCGCCAACGCGAGCGACGGAAACGGCACCGTCGCGGCAAACGTCACGGTAACGGAAACGTACGTCACTTCCGCTTACGGCGGCGGGCTCGTTCCCGCGTACGGCCTCGTCGAGTTCGTCTTCGTCTCCAGCATCCTCGGCATTCTCATCCTCATGACGATCGTCGGCAACGTGTTCGTCATCGCCGCCATCATCCTCGAGAAGAACCTGCAGAGCGTCGCCAACCATCTGATCCTATCTCTAGCGGTTGCCGACCTACTAGTAGCCGCCCTCGTTATGCCTCTGAGCGCCGTCTACGAGGTAACCAAAACCTGGTTCCTCGGCCGACAGATCTGCAACATGTGGACGTCGCTGGACGTGCTCTGCTGCACCGCTTCGATTCTCCATCTCGTCATCATCTCGTTGGATCGATATTGGGCGATCACGAGTATCGATTACATCCATCGGCGAACCCCGAAGCGGATCGGACTGATGATCGTGATGGTGTGGGTGATATCGGCGGCGATATCGATCGCTCCGCTGTTCGGATGGCGCGATCCGGAGACGGCGCACGCGTCCGACACGTGCCTCATCAGCCAGGACATTGGATACACGTTCTTTTCGACGTTCGGAGCGTTTTATATTCCGATGGTCGTCATGCTATCGGTGTACTACAAGATCTATCGAGCTGCGAAAAGTCGCATTCGTAAGAAGCCCGGAGGAAGAGCGAAGATGCAGCTGCCTCCGCCGAGCACGGTCGGCGCCGTACAGACGGAGGCGACGACGATGACGCACCTCAACAACGTCGCCAACGTTAGTCCGGAGAAATCCAGCTCGACGGACCGCAGCGGTTGCGCCGGCGTCGGCGTCGGCGGCGTCAACGGCGGCACGCCGCGTCACGACGCGAACCACGTCAACGATCTGGCGCCACCGTCGCCGCAAACCGCGATGCATCGGTTACAGCAGCCGCAGCAACAGCAGCAGACGTTGACGATGAAAGACGTCGCCAAATCGCAGCCGACCGACGTGCTCATACAGAAACCGGCCATGACGAAGCAGCAGCAGAAGCGGCACAGCTCGTCGAGCGACGTGAAGAAGGAACGCAAGGCAGCAAAAACACTCGCCATCATCACGGGATCCTTCCTGCTCTGCTGGCTGCCTTTCTTCATCCTGGAGGTAGTGAAGCCATTCTGTCACGACTGTTTCCAGGGATTGGATGCGATGGTGAGCGTACTGCTGTGGCTCGGCTACTTCAACAGCTTGTTGAATCCAGTCATCTACACGATATTCTCTCCGGACTTTAGAAACGCTTTCCATAAGATCTTGCTCGGACGCTACAGGAAGAAATACTATCCGCACTGATAGTATCTAGATAGCTTGATGATATATATATATATACATATATATGTATATATATATATGTGTGTATATATATATATGAGGACGCACGGACAAATATATGTGAGCTGCCGTATCGTGAGACGATTCAGAGATCTCGATCAGAAATCTTGACTCAGAGGACGCGAGATCAATAATATCGGTAATGCCTGCGTGAGAGGAGGAAAGAGAGAGAGAGAGAGAGGGGGGCACGTTCTCTTCAACGGAAATGGGTTTCCCCGAGCGGGAAGCCTGCACGATGGCACGATGGAACGTTTTTTTCACCCGCGTGTGATCATGGCGAGATGTTCTTCCTTCAGAAAGAAGTTCCGGGAAGTTCCGCAGCGAACCACACACTTCTTTCCCGTTATCGTGGGGGAATCTCTTCCCACTGCTGCAAATCGGGATACGGTAATGGCGTGTCACGTGCGCATGCGTGGACGCGTTTCCTCCATCGTTACGGTGTTTTATTCCCGCGGAAAGATAATGGGAAGTGAGAGAGTGAGTCGCCCCCGAAGAAAGAAGACTTGCGAAGAGAGAATGGTTCCTCACATGTGTGCGTGTGTGTGTGTGTGTGTGTGTGTGTGTGTGTGTGTGTGTTCTCATCTCTGCGTACTGCGTGTATGAAACACACATACAGAGTGAGAGAGAGAGAGAGACGAGTTTTCGGTGATCTGTGCTCTGTTAGTCACATAGACTGTCCAACTAGAGACAGCATCTGCAATAGTGGCTGTGTTTGTTGCGGCGTAAGATAAAATGTACGTGAGTGCTAACTGTTTAAACAAAGCGCACGACCGTCGATGATGCGGACGCAAGAGACTGCGTCAACGCGCGTGACGCAAACCTCTACGCGACGCAAGGGTGTACAATGTGGAAGCGAGTTGACGCAAGTGGCTGTGGTTGCGTCGAAAAACGTGACACAAACGTCTCTACGCGACGCAACGGTGTACAATGTTGACGCTGACGCAACGTTAGTGTAACTGTGCAACTGTGCGAGCAGGTGCGACGATGGTTGACGCAGAAAACGGCGGCTGCGTCAGCGAACATGACGCAAGATTACGCGCTCACTGTTCCAGAAGGCTTCTTGGACGTTCGGCACGTTTGCGTCAATCGTGATACAAACATTAATTGACATACGATACAAGAATCCATAGCCGCGTCAGAAAGCGTGACGCAACCTTCATTCTTTCTCTACGAGGAATCTTTGACGCAGACGTCAATAGCTGCGTCAGCACCTGCGTCACCTATATCTCCCTACATCATATCAACGGAGCAACGTAACGTCCCCCTCATTAGCACATCCTCTATAATAAGAATTTCGAGTAAAAAAGTGTTCGTTTCTGCGATAGTTTATAACCCGTCAGCGCATGCGCAGTACCGTACATATACATGTACATCTAACGCTGGCTTTCCAGCTGGTCACTGTTATGTAGCATCGTCGCTAATTAGCTAATTAATGCTGCTTCTTCATAATTAGCACTATATCATTACTCATTCTATATATATATCACTCCCATGGCTTCTCTCTCTTCGTATATATGGCACAACGACATTGTCTATACATCCACAGCAGTACCAGTCTGTTATCATCGTATGCTTGTGATGCGTTGCTATGGGAGCCAACATCCGCCAATGCATCTTGCTTAGTTACGGCTAGACAGTGATCCCTCTTAGTTACCGTAAGTTGTGACGAAAATCGGGCAAATTACTTAAAAATATTTTTGACAGGATTCAACAATACATCTATGACTAATAGTAGGTCATTCTCGCGAACGAAATCTGTGCGATGAACTTATTTCATGATAGTTAGAAACCCCGTTTATAGGCGAAAAATCTATTCTCGAGTTATTCGAAAAATCGAGATTATATCCTAGGTTGACGCGATGAAGTTAACTTGTGAAATCAAATGACCTACGGGTTTTTTTTCCCACTCCCTTTCCGCAGCCTACTCTTGCTACGACATCATACTCTTGATTCACTTTCCCCTCATCCCACTCTTTGTCATCTTTTTATCTCATGCTCCTCATAGTTATACATTATCTCATCCTACGCCTCCTCTCATTATCGTTCTCCTCCTTCTCATTTTCTTCCTTCTTCCCTCCTCTTACTCCTCTTCCTTCACCTACTCCTCTCATTCTCTCCCTCCCCCTCCTCCTCCTCCTCCTCCTCCTCCTCCTCATCCTCCACTCATTCGCTTCCTCCTCCTCCTCCTCTCATTCTCTTTCTCCTCCTGTCATTCTCTTCCCCTCCCCCTCCTCCTCTTCGTCCTTCTCCTCCTCCTCTCATTCTCCTCCTCCTCCTCCTCCTCCTCCTCTCATTCTCCTCCTTCTCCTCCTCCTTCTCTCATTCTCTTCCTCCTCCCCCTCCCCCTCCCCCTCCTCTTCTTCCTCCTCCTCATCTCATGCTCTTCCTCCTCCTCCGCCTCCCTCCTGCACCCACCTCCCATCCTAACCATGATCACACGACCGCCTCTGTAGCCACGACCAAATAACCATGCAGTGCTAACTACTACACATGCTATATACAGCCAGAGAGCAATATAGACATCTATGCGGCTACCATACTGCACACTATATACAGATATACAGTCAGAACAATTCATACATCTATGCGGCTTCCGCCACCAAATACATTGAACTGAGTTTCGTCATTCCGACGAGTGAAAAAATTAAAGTGAAATATAACGAACGGCCGTGCTCCCGACAGCAAGCATGCAAACAATTATAAAGAAATTTCGATCTGCCATCATGATTCTATCTTATAATCGAGTCTTATAATTGGTCAATCCCCTCTCCGCGCTCAGTAGAGACGAATCTATCAACTATATATATCATAGTATATACGATGTCTATCAGTCAGACAGACGTAATAGAGTTGTCTTTAGACCCAGGAGAGGGAGGGGGTTGCCCCTGGATGACAGATATCATTACGAAATGCCATCTGGTGGTGGTGACAGTTGGCTGTCAACGTGTGTGGGGTGATGTATGGCATGTGTATGTCATCGTGGTGCGTGTCGTCACCCGGCCAGCTTCAGTTACTAGACTGATGTTAGTGTCCGGGGGAGTTATACCCGCGTACTTCTTGCGTGAAAGATATATGGTTGTAGAATGCTCGTAAAAAAACATCAAAGGAATGCCTTCCGCATTCTTGCTATAATTTTCGTCTGCCTTCTTCGCTTATTTATTCGCTTCCGCCATCTCTTCCTATTCATTCTTCCCCCTCCTCCTGCTCCTCCTCTTCCTCCTTCTCTTCCTCCTCCTCCTCCTCCTCTTCCTCCTCATCCTTCTCCTCCCAAACTCATCCACCTTCTCTCTGTTTTCTATTACCAGTTTCAAGCTGCTCTTCCTCTTCCTCCTCCTTCTCCTCCTCCTCCTCCTCCTCCTCCTCCTCTTTCTCCTCTCCTTCCTCCTGCTACTTCTTCTTTTCCTCGTCGTCCACTTCCTCAACCCCCTTCTCTCATAAACGGTCTTTTCGTTGTTAACTGCGCACTAAACGACTTTATCAACTTCCATGCAACTATGAACTATGCACTAGAGTACGCGCAACGGCAGAATCACATTATACCGAACAATATTCACTATATATATATATATATACCTTTATAACGCGATAATTCAGATCCAAATAATTCGATCGTGTAAAATTCGGTTCCACGCGTTATGAGCGCGGCGAGTAAAAGTTTACATTTCCCGTCCGCCAGACAAGCGAGCCGTTGTCACAAAGATCATCACTGGTTAAGACTTCATAGACACGCCTGTAATGTCGTCGTAACATTTGTTATTAGAGTATTAAGCAAAAGTTACGACATTTCAGACTTATTATAGTCGTAAGTATTTGTGATGTTTCCGACAATGCGCCAACGGGCATCCACAGAGAGAGAG